AAAGGAGGCCACACCCACAGAGTAGATTCGAACAATTTTTGAAACCCACCACTGAGCATGGGCTACTCCTGAGGCTGGGGAAGGTTCAGACGAGGGCTCTGTGTCAGAGGCAGAGAGGAAGCCGATGCCATCTGGCAGTGATCAGGTGCCTACGGAGCTAGACAGCAGTGAGGCAGAGGAACAGCTGGAGCCTGTCCCCAGTGTGCACATGCGCAGAGTGGCCAGAAGAAAAGAACAACTCAGAAATCAGAGTGGACTTGAGAGTAAAGACACAGGTGGAAGGTGATTGACCCCTCCCATAGGAAATAAAAGAGGAGCGAAAGGGGAGGGGGCTTTTGCAGGAAACAATTTGTTTGTTTGGTTGTTAGATTCATTTCAGGAGTGTGAAGATCTCTCTGTGAATCTCAGAGACTCTGTGCCCAGTCTTTCCTTGCACAGCACCTCATTTGGACAATATTGGCATGGCAGCTTTCCAAGGTAGATAAGGTCTGTAGTCATAAATATTCCTTTGAAAGACTTTTTGCCAGGCCTTTGCTGAATGTGAAGGAGAGGAACTCACATTCGTTTAATAAAAGGGGTTTTGTCGAGATCAGGACTCTGCTGCGTCCTTTTGAGGGAAGCCTAGGTCAGAACAGACATGCTCTCTGGGAGTTTCAGGCTCCCCCTGAAAGCAAATGCTTTCCTACAGTCCAAGTGTATATTGGATTAGAAAGGAGTCCTCACAAGAATGTCCATATTTCTGTATTTCAAAAAGTGATTTGGGGTAAGAGCTACCTTGAACTTTTTGTTCACGTGGAGCAATCCAAAACAGAAAGGCGTTTAGGTGCTATGCAATTGTTATGATAATGACTTCTCTCCCCCCTCAGGCTGTCATGACTGTTCCAGTGAAAGCTCAGACCAGCCCAGTCCAAGTCCAGAGGACAACGGTTGCTGTAACTGGAGCAGCCAATGTCACTGGAACAGGGATTGCAACGCCTACACCTGTCCCCAAGCCAGCAAATAGTTCTCCGAACACTGCAGTGGCCAACCCTTCCACCACTCCGTTGTCTTCCTCTGCCTCTTTATCATCTTCTTCCTCATCCACCACTGTCCTCCAGAACGTTGCTGGCCAAAATATCATTAAACAGGTGAGGATCTCACTCTGCTAAGGAATTGCCGCAGGTAACGTACTGCTAACTATGTTACCCCCCAGGAAATTCACCAGCCGCTCCTGATTTATTACGCTCTTAAATTTATTCCAATAAAAGCGCATAACTCCATGTCATTCTCACAGTCATGGCTCAAAAGAAAGGAGATGGTAGAATGGAAGAGGAAATTCAGGCTTCCGGCAGCTGTGTTATAAACTAGGAAATAGATCCCAGGAGGCTACTCGGCAGGGGTGAAATTAACTTACCTTCGCTACTGGTTCGCAAATGTGAGCGGCCACCTCTGCGCATGTGTATGACCTTCCGCGCATGCGCAGAGCGTAAAAAAGGGG